CACGGGCGCAGGGTCCCAAAGCATTGGGCCGTCCTCAACTGCTTTCCCAGGCCACAGGCAGGGAGCTGGATGGGAAGTGGAGCTGCCGGGATTAGAACCGGTGCCCATATGGGATCCGGTGCATTCAAGGCGAGGACTTTAGGCGCTAGGCTACGCTGCCGAGCCCAACACAATGCATTTAAAACACCACCAGCAGTTGTTGGAGAAGCTGGAGACTTTAGTTCTTAGGAGCCTGGCTTTTGGGACATCTGTCAGAAACAGAAAAGACGTATCCTGAAGTTGTCACCCGGAAGGCTAGCAGAACTCCTGGCCTATATGGTGTTCTGTTTCCCAGATGGGGCAGGTGTCAGTGGCCAGCTGTGCTAGGCGGAGCAACCTTGAGGGAGTAAAGAGAGCGACACCTACTTCCTTGGTACACCTGCGCCTGGTGCCACGGCCCCTGTTGGCCAACCTAGCCCAGGAGGAGTGGGAGCAGGAGGGCTCTTCACATGGATGGGGCCAGATGACTGACTGGAGCTAAGCTGAGCAGAAGGTGGGCCATGTGATCTGAGCCAGAGTGTCACCGTGGTCCCCATCACTTCTGACATCTTGCTACTCTGCGGTCACCCTGAAAAGTGCTGTCCGGGTCAGACACCTCAGCAGGATCGCAGCTCTATTTTGTGACCTTGCATTCCTCCAGGCCTGCCTGCTTCCTGTCTCTGGGATCCCAGGGTCCTCAAGGGTTGCCTTCCCCACCTTCTCTGGGAGGCTGTGGGGGAGCTTAGGGGTGTTTCCGGGACTGAGGCCTCTGACTCCTCCCAGCTCTTTTTTTTTTTTTTTAAGATTTATTTACTGTTATTGGAAAGTCAGATTTACAAAAAGAAGGAGAGACGAAGAGAAAGATCTTTCATCAGCTGATTCACTCCCCAAGTGGCCACAACAGCTAGAGCTGAGCCAATTGGAAGAAGCCAAGAGCTTCTTCCGGGTCTCCCTTGCGAGTACAGGGTCCCAAGGCTTTGGGATGTTCTTGACTGCTTTCCCAGGCCACAAGCAGGGTGCTGAATGGAAAGTGGAGCAGCCGGGACATGAAACGGTGTCTATATAGGATCCCTGGGTGCATGCAAGGTGAGGACTTTAGCCCCTAGGCTACTGTGTCGGGCCCTCCTCCCAGCGTTTTAACTTGAGACTGGCTGCACAGCTCTTTGGGTGAGCCAGTGACAGCTGTCATTTGGACAAAGGATCTACTCCTCTCACTTTTCAGATTTTCCAGATGTTTTGGAGAGATGGACAGAGCTCCTGGCTGCTGGTCCATTCCCCAGATGCTCACAGTGGACAGGGCTCAGAGCCGGGGCTCCCCTCTGGGTGTCAGTCACGCAGCAGCTGGAGCCGTCTCATCCTGCCTCCCAGCATGGTTGGAACCGGGAACCAAAGCTGGGGCCCAGTCGGACACTTTGATGTGGCACGCGGGCATTTTAGCTAGCATAGTAACTGTCAGACTCGGCTCCCTTCTCCACCACTGCCGCCCGCAACCCAGAGGTGTCTGAGCCCATGAAGACACAGGTTCACATGCTATGTGGTAGACATATCCTGTAAGTGTATTTTTAGAACTACATGTCTGAATTTTTTTCACCTTTGCAGAATTTTTTTTTTCAAAAGGAATACACATTGCAGTTTTACAGGTGGATAATTCACGGAACAAAATAGTCAAATGATGCAAACTGTAGAGGAAGGCGTGCCCCTCACCAGCCCTTCCTGGGGTTAAGTGCGGATACAGGTCTCATGGGCCACTTTGCAGAGCCAGCCGGAGCCAGCAGGTGTATAGCTGTTGCCTTAAACAACGCTAGCTTCGTTTTACACTTGGCTATTTTTGCTGAAAATTATCCTGACGATCATTTGCCCCACACGGTGCGTGTGGAACTGCGTATGCATGTGTGTGTTTTTTTTAAACCATGGCAGAAGACTCCGCAAGTTGCCATGCCAGTGTGCTATTGCTGGACCTCGACATCGCTTCCATTCCCCTCCTCTTCTTCGTGTATTTCTGATGTTTCTTCAGCTGTGGAGCTGCTCCGTGCTCCTTTAAGTCGCATCTCACGGGCTGAGGGGTGGTCTACATTTCAGATCCCATCCCCCTCCCCTCTTCACCTGAAATCCCCTTGTTCACGTGCCAGGATGGCTGACACTTGGAGTGCAGTCGGACCTTGGGGATAATAAAGCACTATTTGGCTCGTGTTGAGTAGCTTTCCCGTTGCGTGGTTCGCACAGCCTGGGAACGCTTCAGTCTCCTTCCACAGGATTTGGGGTACTCTGGTTTTCAGGTTCTCCCCCACCTCACTCCCCTAGCACACCTATCAAAGATCGCAAACCTTTAATCTGACTGGCCCCATCTGGGATGGTGGAAGCTCGGGTTCTTTCTCGCTGTGCCAATCTGTTTCCGAGGTGGTGGGTGGCGGCACCATGTGACATTCAGAGATCGCTGTTGGGTCCTCATGCCAGGATGCATATGGCTGCAGGGCCCCTGGACGGGAGTGCCATGTGTCCCCACAGAGTCCTCAACTGCCAGCAGCCAGTGGTCCCGGGCACACTGACTGTACAGCTCCTGGATCCAGGTGGGGCTACCCTCCTCCAGGCCACCTGTCCCCATTCATGGACCTTGTAGCTGGTGGAGCAGGTGGGGAGCTGAGGGTCCAACATACTCCAGCCTGCTCCCTGCATCTCTTCATTTGCGCCTGATTTGGTGGGAAAGTGGGGGTTGGGCCAGAGACCCCCTCACAGTTCTGCTGTACCCCCAGCACTGGGCAGCAGATGCCCACTGCCTGGCTGAGCCCTGGCCAGAGACCACCCCCCCCCCCCCCCCCCCCCACCCCCCCCCGCTGCTCCTGGGGACAGAGGCCAGGAGGAGGGGTCCCCGCTGAGAGAGCTGCCAGCGCTCTCAGCCTTTGCGGAGTTCTCTGTGTCTGTATGTGACTGCAATGAAACATCAACTTCTTTGCTTTTCTGTCATATTTCAATATTGGCTTTTTTCCACCCTTCTTTAAGTCTCCCTTTTTATAACTGGGTGCCGCTGCTGCTTAAATATAGACGCCTCAGTCCTCCTCCTTAGCACATTGTTTATGTTCCCGAGGAGCCTTCTGCCTCTGCGGCTGCTCGCCTCTCCCGCGCGCCCGCCCGTTTTCCCACATTGCTTCCCGTTGCTCTTTTTCCCCTGCCTTCCCTTGGCTGAGCTGGCTTTCCAATGTGGTCTATCAGAATGTTGTGTGTTTCCCTCTTTTCGGCAGTAGCTTTGACATCTGTTCTTGAATGCCAGCCCACGGTATTCTTTTGGGGGCTTGTTTGCCCAGGATGCGCTCCACTGCCAGAGATACCCAAGGGGAGAGCGTGGCGTGGTGCTATCTCTCCCCACCCACCCTGTCCTCTCCTTTTTAAAACATTCCACTCCCTTCCACTCCACTCCCCCCTCCCCTTACCCCTCACTGCTACCTCCCCTTCCATCTCCCCCCAGCAACTGCCTACACTTTCTGAGTTGACAGCACGCCGGCAGTTTGTTCCAGCTCTCTGTCGTCCTCCCTGGCTGCGGGCCACTCGTAGTGGTACCAGCGAAGCAGCTTCTCTTAAGAGGATTGAGAGCTCGGTGGCTTGTCTCGCCACCAAAATGGAAAGCAGGTGTAATTTAGAGAGTTTGCAGGGGTGGGGCGGTGGAGGATAAGACCCAGCGTGTGCCCAGGGGCACGTCTTCATCATTTGCTGTTCTTGTCATTGAGCCTTTGATTGATCCAACCCTTGCTCTGTTGACTACATCGTGGTGGTCTCCACCACTGAGTGACAGCATGCAGCAGCCTCCTCCTCACTGGCCCCTGAGTTCTAGGGCAACCTGTGCTACTGTGCCTTCAGGAAGCGAAGTGGCTCAACGGGAGAATGGTGGTACCAGCCACATGTCCCACTATGAGCCTTGGCGCACCATTCTGTGCCCATCTGCCACAGGCTGGCTTGGAACAGATCCTTCTGGGAACTTAGCCCCGAGCTTCCAGAGCCAGGCATGGGGGGCTCTGGAGCTGTAGTGCCTGTTTCTGGTAGGTGAGCAGAGACCTCAGGCCCTGGCAGGTCTCCCTCTCAGTGGTCCCCAGAACTCTAACGCCAGCAGGTAAAAATGGCTTTGGGAATCACCACCATGTCTAGATGCATTTCTGAAGAGCAGACATGATCCTGAATATCTTGAGATCTGCCCTGTAAAGGTCGCTGTTGCAAACTAGCAAAAGTTCATGGTCACCACTTTGCTGTGTGACCTGCAACAAACTCACAGTGAAAGAGAGTCACTTGTGAGGACACAGGTTCTCAGTGCCACAGCATCAGGATGGCCCCTGAGAGCCCCAACAGCAGTAGAGGGACAGAGCCATGGGAAGCTGCCAGAGGAGGCACCTGCTAGGGACAGACATGGGGCAGCTCCAGGCAGCACGTCATTGGAGCACTGGCCTGGCTGGTTGGAGTGAAAAGAATGTGGCTGCATGTCCTGTTGTCAGAGCCGATTTAGCTGTGGCACATGTGCATAATACAGCAAGCTGAGCCAGTCTGCTTTCCTTAAACCTGTAGGATGGCACAGGGAGGTATGGGGTGATACAGATGAATGTGGACCAGTGAGGGTTGGCGTGGGTTGGTGTGGGGTAATACAGATGGATGTGGGCCAATGAGGGGTGGCATGGATTGGTGTGGAATGGCGTGGGTGGGTATGGGGTGGTATGGATGGGCATGGGGTGAGTGAGGGGTGGCATGGATTAGTATGGGGTGGTGTGGGTGGATGTGGCCTGGTACAGATGGAACTGAACCAGCAAGGGACGGTATGGATGGGCATGGGATAAGTGATGCATCCAATCTCCGTGGCACGCTCCTCCAGTTGCTTCTCTGGCCCAAAATGGGTAGTCGCTGGAGCCACATGGGGTCTCTCCTCCAGGGTTCTGGTCAGATGATGCGAGTGTAATGTTTTCAAAGTGCAGTTACGACCTTTCTCTCCCTTCCTCCTCGCTCCACAGAGAGAACTGGATGCCACCGCAACAGTACTGGCGAACCGGCAAGATGAAAGCGAACAGTCGAGAAAGCGGCTCATCGAGCAGAGCCGAGAGTTCAAGAAGAACACTCCAGAGGTGAGCGGGGCTGCTGCTGAGCTCTCGTTGTGGGGGTCTCATTGTTCTAGGACAGATTCAGAAGATGGGGTTGTGACACCAAGCAGTGCTTTCCTCCCTGTCCCCAGCTCCGGCCTGCTGGGGTCATGTGCCACCACACAAAATGGAAATAGTCCAGCCAAAGCCAGCTGCAAGTGTCAAACACGTTGGGTGTGTTGGCGTGTGGCCAGGTGCGCGGGCATGTCAAGTCCTCTCACCCAGCCCACCAAGGGAGACTACAGATGGAGGGGTCCCGAGGCTGCTTCCCGGAGCTGAGGGTGTAAGTGTCTGGGATTAGCAACATGCTGGGCCTGCTAGAAGCTTGGAAATGTCCCCTCCAACCTTCTCGAAGCAGTGTGAACAGGGCCAGAGCTGTGCTCCTTCTGTGTCCGCGTTTTCCAGTGTGTGTTTGGGGGCCAACGTGTGGAAGGACAGATGGGTCCCTTCAGCCCTGACCAAAGGTTGAGTAGCACTGTAGGAAGCCTGAGGGTGCCAGGCAGTTGAGCCCATTGGGGAGGGTGCAGGAGCAGTTCTCATGCTCCGGGCTCTCTCCGCACCCTCTGCCCCGTGCAGGCCTGGCACTAGGGCGTGTTTGTTCCTTTTGTTAACTTGGGACTCCCATGAGATGCGTCTAAATCTTGTTCCTCCTTGCAAACCCAACACTGCTTTGAAAAGCAGTTTCAGCTTGAAGTGTTCCAAAAGTCGGGTTGTAATAACAGTTCATCGTTTTGCAAATATTTATGGAACACCTTGCATGTGCCAGCCGGGTTTGACCCTAGGGATAAAATTCTATCCCTGTTTTTTTTTTTTTTTTTCAAGATTTTATTTATTTTTATTGGGAAGGCAGAGAGACAGAGAGAAAGATCTTCCATCTGCTGATTCACTTCCCAAGTGACCGCGACCGCTGGAGCTGAGCTGATCTGAAGCCAGGAGCCAGGAACTTCCTCTGGGTCTCCCACGTGGGCACAGGGTACAAAGGCTTTGGGTTGTACATAGCTGCTTCCCCAGGCCACAGAGATCTAGATGGGAAATGGAGCATCCAGCACATAAAGCGGTGCCCACCTGGGATCCTGGCACATGTAAGGCATAGATTTTAGCCACTAGGCTATGGTGCTGGGACCCCTATCCCTGTTTTAAAAAGGTGTCTTGTCTCCCTCCTCAAACAAGTAGAACATAGAGATGCCATGCTTAGTACTAGGCTAGCACAGCCAGCACCTTTGCCCTCAGCTTCAGCTACAGAAATGCTCTTGGCAAGGACGTTGCAAACACCCTGGGGTAAGCCCCACTATGGGGCTCAGCAATCCTTATTGTAAACAAACAGCTGTGCTTTTCAGCCCAATTCCTAATCTTTAAAATATCGATCATCCTAATTTAGGGCTCTGTCTCCTGAGAAATGCACCTGTGTACAGGTTCTGCGTGGCAGGTCTCGCTGGCATCCAACTCTTTCCATGTGCTCTGCCAGCAACATCACAGGCGGGTCCTCCCTCAGCTTCCTCCTACTTGTGCCCTGGGTGGGAAGGGAACAACCAAGGAAGGAGGAGCCGGAAGTCCAGAGTGGGTGACCAATGAAGGCCACAGCCTGCCTGCTAGGCGGACAGCTATGCCGAGGCCTCTGGGCAGGAGATGGATGGAGAGGTGGGGCTCCATGAGGGGCTTCACAGGCTGCTGTGCGGCCAGGCACCTGCGTGCTGGGTGCAGCTCTCCCTACTGCCCAGGGCTGTGCTGGCGCACAGGATGAACACGCAGCAGCAGCAGCAGCAGCAGCAGCTTTCTGGCTGCCTGGGGCAAGTGTGTGTAGATCGAGAGCCTGGCGTCACATACCCTGGGAGTTTCCCTTTGCCTTGCCCTGCATCTTTGTGCTCTGCAGGGACCAGGAGTGCAGGGTGATCCTTGGATTTCCTACATGAGGATTCTGTGGTCTCCCCCTACCCCAGGTGAGCCCCTGGGACAGTGTGGGTAGTTCCCATTAGAGAACATGCGAGGCAAAGCTATGGGGTTCCTCTCTTCCCCCCAAGACCTGGCTCTTATGCTACTCTTCCCTCTCAGTGAGGTTTTGCTTGTCTCCCGGGACCTAAGCTGGCCTTAGGGATTCCACCCCGTTTCCTAGCCACACTGAGCCCCTGGACTTCTCCCCGCCCAGATGTGTCTTTGAAGCTGGGAGCTGACTTGTGGTTCCCGCTGAGGGCTTTGTGCTCTGTGGGAGGGAATCCATTGAGTAGAGGGAGCCCCCCAGGGGCGGGGGCTGCCGAGGCTGGCTTGGTGCTCCTGGAACGCAGTCCTTGCTTCAGGGCCTGCTGTGCCTAGGTGTGCTGCCCAGCTCAGACCACACGAGCAGCCAATGGTGTGCGGCCCCCAGAGCAGGCGTGGGGGTGCATGCTGTGTTGTCTGTCCTGGTGAGGACGGGAAGAGGCGGCCTGAGCGGGGGAGAGGCGCATTCCTGAGCTGCAGCATCGTGCTCGTAAATCCATCCTCCTGCCTGCCTGGCCGCCCAGTCCCTAGCCCCAGCTCCTTCCTGGGCGTCTGTCTAGGATGCTTTGCGTTAATTTATGTCTCCTCCAAGGCGGGCCCTGATGACGCTTCCTTGAGGGATGTGAGCTGTGGGTCTGGGGCAGCTTTTGGTCCCTTTCCCCCCGCCCCCCCCCCCCCCCCGTCTTTTTCTCCTGAAGGATTTTTGCTGAAACATTTCTTATTCTGTGGAGAGTGACTCTCCCAATGCTGCCTGGCCCACACTGCTAGTGATTCTTATCTTTGCGTCACCCTCCCTGGCTCCTGCCCACAGCAGCTGAGCTGACCTGTGGCACTCATAACCAGGGAATGTCAGTCCCTGGTGGCCAGGCTAGGGAACCGACTCTCTTAGTTCTCACTGTCCCCCTCATCCCCCTACCCTCTGGTGGACAGAGGTCACAGCCCCCAAGTCTCCGGTGCCAGTACCTGCAGGCCTGGGTTGTGGCAGAACACATTATATGCAGCTGATGGCACTGTGTGTGTGTGGGGGGGGGTGGTTCTGTTTCCTAAGTGCCAGAATCTTACTTTGCCCTCTCCGTCGGGCCTGGGGTGGTTTCCTGATGTCTCCATCCTCGAATAACAGCTGTGAAAACATCAGGCCCTGGAGATAGACCTTGAGGAGGAAGCATGCGTCCCTGTGGCTGTGTTGTCAGCTCCTCCAGACTCTGGCAGGTGGGCTGCGGGGAGGGCGTCTTCCCTTCCTTGACCAGGGTGATCCGTTTTTGAGGGGAGCTGGACCCGCAGGACCCAGGCAGAAAAACAGAACAAGGGAGGACACTTGTGAGGTTTGGGGCCCACTTCTCACTCCCCGTGTGAGGCAGGGGCGGCGGGCTGTGCGGGGTAGTAATATATAGTGGTGGCCCCGGCCCAAATGCATTTAGTCACTACGTCTGCGGCCTTTATATAGACACTGCACGGTGTGACTCACCCTGGAAAAAGAGAGTCACACAGTTGCGATTTCAGTGGACACTACAGACAAGCACAGCCTGAGAGGGCATAGCTGAGGGCCCCTCTGGGACAGCTGGGGTCGGGCTAGGGTGTGTGTAGGGGGATCCTGACCTGTGTGACCTTGTGGAGGTCCTGGGCGGGACCGATGACTCCGATGGTCATGTCCAGGGATCCTGTGGGTTAGCCCTCATCGTTTTAAAGTGCTCAGCCAGCATGTGGATCCTGTTGCCTGCCAGCTGCCGTGTTTGTGTGAGCCTGGGGCTCTGTTCTTTCATCAGTTCGCAGACCACGAAGGCCCAGAGGCCACTTCCCTTCACCATTCAGGTGTCGCTTTGGCATCAATCCTTAGGAGACTCCAGGCCCACAGGCGCTGAGGAACAACCCCCAAGCTCGGCTTCCCTCCAGTTGTGCAGGGCACACAGAGCAAGGACCGCAGCTCAGCTACATGGTTTTTATTCAGCAGCCAGGGTCCCCAAAAGCTCGCTCAGCTCAAGGCTTTGGTCCCATCCGTCAGCTCTTATCTCTCAGCTGCTTTCAGACGTCAGATTCCAGGCTGCTTTCTCTGTCCTGGGAGGCTGGGACTGAATGTGAATCCCACAAAATCCAGTTTGTGAGCCCTGGGCTTCAAGGGAGACCCAATTCTGTTTGTTGTCTTTGGCCCAGAAAAGTGAAACTTTGGGTCATTAGTGAGCAGTGAAGTGAATCTCTTAAGCTTCTCTGTGCACGCCAGCTACTGCCGTCAGAACCATGGTGTGTGGTCCCTGGAGTCCCTGCAGCCCCCCACTCTCTGCTGAGCCCCACAGGGTGGCCTCTTGGTCCCACACGTTGATGCAGCAGCAGAGCTGGCGTTGCCTTTGCTTCCTGCATCCCATCGCTTCCTTCATGACCTGGCAGTTTGTATTGGGCTATTTTAAGCATCACCGACAAACTCTCCAAGAGCATAATGGCTGTCCCTAGGAGAGTGTAGGTTCATGGGGGTTGGAGTTTAAGTCCCATGACCTTGCTCGGGTTTTCTGTCTTAAGATTGACCTCACTTTTATTTATCTGAGAGGCAGAGAGAAGGAGAGAGTTCTCCTATGCATTAGTTCAGTGCCCAAATACCCGCCACAGCCAGCGTCAGGCCTGTTAAAGCCCGCAGCCACACACTCCATCTGGGTCTGTCATGGGGTCGCAACCATCCCCTGCTGTCTCCCACAGTGCACATTAGCAGGGAGCTGGATCAGAAGCAGAGGAGGGGCTCAAACCCCAGAGTCCTATCTGGGGTGCAGGCAATCCCACTGTGCCAGGGTGCCCACTCCCGAGGCCCCATTTTCTCATCTAAAATCATGGGAGTGATGATAACTACCTTGTGGTTACTGCCAGGCAGGTGAGTTGTGGAATGTTCTCTGTAGCTTTGGCAAGCAATACAACAAGCTTAATAAACAGCATGCTATGTGCATATTCCTAGAACTGACCCCAAAAGGATTTTATATCTGTAACTGAAACAAGTGCTAATTTTTTAAAAAAGATTTTACTTGAAGGTCAGAGGT